ATGTTTTTTTTTAATTTTTCGCGGGGATGGGAATCCCCACGGGGCCCCTCGGGGCGAGGAAAATTCCTAGCGAAATTTCACGGGGAGAAAATCTCCCCCATCCCCGCCCCGTCCCCGTGATGGGGATCGGGGGAAATTGCCACCCCTAATCAAGCCTCCGCCTGCTCAAGAATTTACTATATTTTGTTTTAGTATATTAGATAATAGACTAAATTATATAATAATAAATAATTTTTTTATTCTTAAATTTTTTCTTACTCATTTCAAAATTTAAGTTTCTCTAAAAGATAAAACTTTACTGTATGTTTTGTAACTTGATAGTCGGCAACTTTTTTTATATTTTGTGAAACAACCTTTTTTTTTTCATTTATTTATAAATAAAAATATGAATGATGCAAGTACCATTACTTGAAGCAAAATGAAAGGATTTTAAAAAGGAAGGAATAATTCTTAGTCAAAGTTGATTAGTTGAATAAGCCAGCTATAAATGAAGATTAATGATTGTTTAAAAAATAATTATAATCATAATGAAGACTTTAGGAGGCGTTTGGTTTGGTAAAGTTGTCCTCACTATTTGTAAAAGTTTAAAGATATTTAATAGTTGCATGTCTCAATATTAGAAGTTTTATTTTCCTATACAATTGTTAAGGTAAGAAATATACAAAATTTATCAACTTCTCAACCAAAATTTTCAATAACTTCAACAACAAAACTTTCCCCTAACCAAACAAGCCTCAGGGATTGCTTCTTGTAATGGGTATAGATCTAGTGCATATAAAAGGTGACCCGAAAATTGCCCCACCATTTACTTTTTTTGGCCCACTAATTTAATAAACTCCAAAACCAAAGTATGGTGGAACTGAAGTTACTAAACAAGGACAAAGTCACTTGCCCATGAAAGGAAATTTGTTTTTCACAATTGAAGTTCGGTTGCATGATTTGCTTTCTGGTGCCATAACAATGAGAATAAATATTCTTTAGACACCAAATTGTAGTTCAAATGGCAAGTTGCATGAGGCACAAAGTGTACCTTTTTCCAACCAGCTGCAAACTACAAGGTGAGAAACTGCAATTTGCCTCAAAAACAATTAGGTTGGTCATAGACTGCTAGGCAATACATGCAATTTTGACATACATGCTATTCTAACTTTGTCTTCTTTTTTTTTTTTTTTTGACAAGAACAATGGTTAGAGATTAGTTAGTAAAATTAGAATTGTTAATGAGAGGTATTGAACCTGAACAAAGGTGCAATCCACCGACTGTCCTTTTGAACAGCAGCGACTACAGCCACAGTGAGAAAATGTAAAAAGAGATGGGAATTGAACCCCACACACAAGATAAGATGTTTTTTAACCAATGATTAAGTGGTCACTTAGGCCACACGAGCTTCTTGTCTCTTATTATCTTTCCACTTGTTGTTCTTTCCACTTGTTGTTAGTGGGAAAGGAATCCTCCATAAAATAAATATCGTTGGTATTTTGAACCTGCAAGCAATTAGGAAATCAAATAGTGAACTAAGTTCTCTGTGGCCAAACCACGTGTCTTTGTAAAAGAAGAAAAATTCAGGAGAAATACCTGCTTGGTAGACAAGTGTGGCAAGTAAGTATGAAGACATCTCCATCATCCCTTTTGAAAATTCTTTTATGAATATTTACTCTTTCATTTGTAAATCAAAAAGTAAAGGAGAAATACTTTAAAGTAAATGCTTACTGTTTACCTTTTAATTTAAAAAATAAGGAAAATCTACAAAACTCATTCACTAGTGCTAATATTTTATAAAAGCTTTACATCAGTTGTTCCCTAGAATGCCTAACGCAACAATTTCATCGGCTTTCTCGGCCAACAGGATATTATCACGAATACTCCCATAAAAAACAATTTTAAAGTTGAATACAGGAGTAGGAGAATAAGTTAAACGCACCATAAGCAGAAAGAAGCTTTGCTCTTGGGAAGAATTTGGTTGCATCTCTTTTATAAGCTAAGTTGACAGACCTCCACCTCCATTCAATATCTTCTTCACGCTATCTCTCCCCTTCCAAGTTTCCTTCAACCGTAGAAAAGATTCCAAAGCAAGATCCCAAAACAGAAAACAACACAAAATGACTACAAAATTTCCAGGCACCAGCATTTATTGCATTAAAGCATTAATTAGTAGTAAGCTTTTCAAGTGTAACTTTACAGCTTTCAGCAAGCTGCAAAGGGAACCACTGGGTCATTGACTCATTTCAATTGATGACTCTCATTTCCCTATTGGCAAAGAGAATTATGCTATTTACCTGATTGATGAAATTATATCAGCCATTATTGCAGGGGCAGTGATTAAGGAAGTCACATGATGTTGCTCTATGGCTTCAGGGCCTGATATAGCTTCAAACTTGGGTATCAATACATGACATGCCCCAACCATTAACATGGCCATGGCAGAAGATAAACCACCAATATGGCACAAAGGAGCAGTATGCAAATAAACCTCATTCACCACCCCCCCCCCCACCACATGATAAGAATTAAGGATTGTTAGTAGGAGGTATAATCTAAAGTTCATTGTTCCTTGTACTTTTTTTTTTTTGTTTTTTTGGGTTCAATTAGGCACACATAAGTCTATTTTGCACAACCATACTTGAAACACTATTATGGATCTATTTCTAAAAGGAAAGGCATACATCCTCCTCACCAAGAGACTGTACAATCAATGCTGAATGGCCAATAGTTACTCCCTTTGGCCTTCCAGTAGTTCCTGTTGCCAAAATAAAAAAGAGAAACTGAAATACTTAAGATTCCTGGCAGGTTAAGGGTTCAGGAATGAATTTGAAGTAGACTATTGACTATTGCTCAGAAGGCACCACCCTCTCTATCAACACCATCAGACCTTGTGCTGCTAAGAAAATCTACCATGCTTTTTCATATGCATGATAAAAAATTCATACTTGCTGTACTAAACAGACAATTATGACATTACCTCTGTATATTTGCCTTTTTGGAACCTGAAAGTCCTCGCTTATTTTAATACTATTGCTGAATTCTGACATTTTGAGATCAATTTTGACTACTGACTAATTACCAATTGTTCACAAACGGGTAACAACAATCACTTTCTGATGAAATTATAAAAAAAATGGATTGTCAAACACAACAGCAGGTTCAAGTTTTAACTCAATGGTAAGGATGTGTTTATATCACTTTCTATTCTTTTATAAATAACAAAACAAAATAGACAAAATAGGGCAATACTTCTACTAGACATGGTGTCATGGCTTTTTTTTAATGAGGAGAATTTTGAAATGTTGAAGTTCGGCAGCATGAAAGTACATTTTAAAATGGAACAGGAAAATTTTAGATAGAACTCAAACCCGAAGTGAAGCATATTACAACAGCGCCCTCAGGTGCATAGGAGTACTTCAGTGGCTAAGAACCTGCTGGATGCTCCATAAGTATTTGCATAGGTAATGCTGACAAAATGAAGATCCAAGAATACATCATTATAAGTAATAAATCAAACATCTGGCTTCAATTATCATCACTATATTTTATTTGTGAAGGTAATCACATACTGTTCCATTTGTTCATAAAATCCGAGGAAGAGGAACTCAAGGAAATACGCCATCTCAATGAAGGTAATCACATACTGTTCCATTTGTTCATAAAATCCGAGGAAGAGGAACTCAAGGAAATACGCCATCTCAATGAAGGTATAGCATAACTATGGAGCAAAGAATGCCAGTAGCCAGAGCTCTCATTCACTACCAACATTACTAGATATAGGGTTAAAATTGCCAACATAGCCTCTTTAAAGCTCTAAATAATAAAAGGGCAAATATCAGCTACGCAATAGATGGAATGTTGACATTAAACAAACTTCACTATTTTTTCCATAAAAAAAAAAAAAAAAGAAGAAGAAGAAGAAGAAGAAGAAGAAGAAACTAAACTACTTTCTGTTTAGTTTGTCTTGAATTTTGCAAAGCTTTAGTTTGCTTATTTCCTCCATCTGTTAGGGGACTTGTTGCTATGATACATGTCATATAGACAACGACATTGAGAGTATATGGAACCATTACAAGGGCACTAAGTATCCATGACATACATTAAAAGTAGTATAACTTTGCCCGCTAACATAATAATCCATCGATAATGCAGAGGAGCAACCATGCCTCTAATATATGCAACAGTTAGTAGCCACTCCAAATACCAGTCACTGAAATAGCATCAATTAAAGTTAAAAAGAAATTATATTTAAATAAAAAAATAGATTTCATTCATATTTTCAGAGCAACCTTTCTTTATTCTTTAAAATTAAAAGAAAATTTTGTGATAAATACAATTAAAAATTTTCATACTTGTTCACCATTTACTAAGCAAAAAACCAAGAGAAAGCCATAACATGAAATCAATATATTACCTACTGCCTATCAAACAGTCTCAGATAATCATCTGCCACGCAACTTTTACCCTCACAACTCTCTATATAAATGCAAAAAAGGTTCATGGCCTCACCCTTTGTGGCATGCTTCTAGGTACGAATGATCAAGAGACAGGAGAAAGAAAGAGATTCAAACATGATATATTGCTAGTTCTATTAGAGAAGACGCAAGATGTCCTTTATGATATCAAATGAACAGAACCAATCATTATGTATGCCTTCCACACTCATTTTATTGAATCACCAAAAAGACAGTAAGACCGTAACACAAATTCAAGCGGATGAATATGTACTAAATCTGAATAATATAAACTTCATTCCATACCTCAGCTTCAAGCTTCTTCTTATACTGTAATTCCAAATTTCCAATTTCTTAAAAGTTTTAGCTTTCTGGTTTAGGGAACTTAATTGGGTTCCCAAATTTTCCAAAAGGAGGATTATGATGGTGATAGTTAAAATCAATGTTTGAAGTAGTACAAGCGGTACGTTGACCTCTGGAAATGTAAATATAGGTGAAAAAGAATTAAAGATATAATGTTTAGGGGCTGTTGTAGTTATGTTTTAGGCTAAAACATTTTTAATATAAACGAACAAGAAATATCTCATAAATAATGATTGATGTTTGAGTATAATTAAGGGAAAAATAATATGTAAGGTAGAGAAATAATTAAACATAATAATATAAAATGTTAACGAAAAAGTTGAGATATAGAGTCTCAACTAAAATTAATGAGAGATGGAACAAGTTACTAAGTGCAATATAGAAGGAAATGTAAGGGAAATAAAATCCTAATAACAAATAAATTATTAATCTAAAGATTAAAAGTGAAAGCAAGTATAGAGTAAATAGATAAATTTAAAGTTAAATGTTAATTTCGGTTCCTCAATTTTAAGGTTTGCATAATTTTCATCCCTCATCTTTTTATGTACTTTTTTTATCCATTGACAATGAAAAATGTGTTTTTTTAGTTATTTTATGAATTAGTCTGTTAAGTTTGTATAAATATACACATTTTAGTTCTTAACGTTAAGTTGAGGGATGAAAATTGTGCATATATTAGAAATTGAGAGATTAAAAATATATAGATTCAGATAGACTTAATAGACTAATTGACAAAAAGATTAAAAAAATGCATTTCTCATAGTTAAATGACAAAAAAGGTCTATAAAAAAGTTAAAAGATGAAAATTAAGTAAAACTTTAAAGTTAAGGGATCAAAATTGACATTTAACCTAAATTTAATGATAAACTTTGAGCGGTAAACTAAAAACATTGAGTCTTATGAAAAATAATTAAAGGTGAAGTTATGGTAATTGAAAATGCACTGAGATAATAATGATAAATAGCGATGTAAGAAATGTTTAGGAAATAATGATAAAAATGGGAGTACAATACAAGAAAAAATAATATGCAAGATGTTGATATACATATAACGATATAAAATGTTAAAGGTAAAATTGAGAGGTAATGCCTCAAAAAAATTAATAAAATGGGATAAGTGACTAAAAAAGAATAATATAAAAAGAAAGATAAGAGATAAATTAATAATAACAAAAATATTTTTAATATTAATATAGAGAAATTATTAGTAACAACTTAAATATTAATATTAATATGAAAACAGATATGATTTTAATGTAAAAAATTGAGAAAATATAGTATGCGAACATATAAAGAAAGGAGCTAAGGAGGAGATGATAAGGAAAAGCAAGAATAATATCAAATAATTTATTAATATAGAGAGAAAAAATAGATAGAAATATTTGATAAATTTTTATAATTTATTAATATAATAATAAATTATGAAGGACAATAATTGGTGCATTCTCAATTCAACACACATTATGAAATTATTATTTTAAAATTTAAATTAAAAGTATGAATACTTACACTATTAAAATCAATAACTTTAAATTTTTTCACTTGAACTTTAAATTTAAAAATAATAATTTCTTAATTAATGTTGACCAATATATTAAATTAGATAATGTATTAATTATTTTTTAATTATAAAAAATATTTTTTTTATTAAAATCCATTAATTAGGTTTGTACGTTTAAGTCTCCTTTTATATCTACCATTTAGATTTTTTTAATAGATTAATATATATATAATTACAGATGATCGGGAAAAAAATATTTTAATATATATTTAGAATTAATTTATAATTAGTAAAAAAAACTTTAATTAATAAAAAAATTATTAATTATAAAATTTAAAAAATATAGACACACCGAGCAAATTGAGGTCTAATTTAAATAAAAAAAATTAACATTTAACTTCCTAAACAATAAATACAGTTGACATTAATGATTTAGAGTCTATTTAACATTGTTATGTAGTGCCATGACCGTGTAAAAAAAATTATTATGAAAGCAATCACAAACAGCACCTATATAATATTTTAAATTTTAATCACTATTAAGAACCACTTGATAACATTTTAAACTTTACCATCCATAGAATGATAGAAACCCAATAGAGTAACATTGATACGTAACTACCAGAAATTACTCCGTTTTAAGATCCCCTGCTATCCCATATTCAATATTAGAAATTGCCTTTGACAGACAATGAACAAGAGTGATTACAGATTCCATTTGCTTTCTGTTTTCCCTTTCCCTTGTTTCAACCAATGACAAAGCATTCTGCTGATCCTGGGTAATAGCAAGAAGCCTTCCTCTTTCATCGTTGCTTTCTCTTAATTCCTTCATGGTTTGCGCAAACTTTTGATTTAATTCGTAAAGCTGCACCTTATCACGTTCAATTTTCTCCAATGCCTCAAGCAAATCACCCATCATAAAATTTGATTCTTCATTGCACTTTGAAATTAATATTTGCTGCTGGTTGATCTGATACCTTAACTTATGAAGTTCTAGAGTAACCAACTCAAATCGATTCTTCTCCTTTTCCAAATCACAAGCTGATTCCTGCAGTAACTTCTCTTTTCCATCAAGAGATGCTTCCAGAATGAGGATATCTAGCTTTAACTTTTCATTTTCTAATTTCAGCACCCTTTCTTTCATATTTAGGGCACCGAGTTTCTCCCTAGCTTCTTTGAACATGATTGCATACACTTGTTCCTCAACAATAGATGCCAAATCCAAATCTTCAAGTTCACATTTCATGCAAGGAGCATTGCATGCAGCATCTCTAACTAAGTCTCTCAGTCGGCAGTTTTCTAAAAGAAGAGATTCTAATCTGTCCCTCGAGCAGTCAAGAGCATCAGCGTTATTACTGAATGCAGGTAATTTTTCATTTGGGACAAGAATGTTGTCCAACTTCAAAATGACTTCAGGGATCTTTTTTCTCAAGATATCAAAATCCCTATCCTTCCTCAATGGTAAAGAAGGATCCTTCTCCTTCAACATCAAGAATTCCCTCTTGAGGCTGTAATAATCTTCAGTCATCTCTTGTACTTTGTAGTCATGGTTTCTCTTCATTTTTGCCATCTCATTCTTAAAATAACTCACCAACTCTTCCCTTGACAAGTGCTTTAGTTGTGCAGCATCCACATTTTCAGGAACGGTTATTACAGACTCTTCATGCTTGCCATTTCCCTGCCTAAGAGAAGTTGATGTTGAAACAAGATTCCCTGAAACTTTGCGCTGCAAATGATCTATTCTCTTACTACTGCTCAACTCCTCATCAAAATCCAAGGACCCATGAGGACTCAACTGCCCAACTTCATGATTGGATAGATGTTTCGAAATGGCATCCAGTTCCTGACGCAAACTTGAAATCTCCGTCCACAAAGATTCATATTTTGGATCATAAGACACCAAGGATTCGTTTTCATCAGAATCAACACGGTAAAGCGGCATTTTTTCCCTCAATTTTGTAAGCTCCAATTCTTTCTGAGCAATCTTATCAGCTGCCTCTTGCTCAACTGCATTCACCATGCCTGAAAATGTGAATCCTCAGAGCCATTAACATCACCAGAGCTTTTCATATTCATTGAACTCTCCATTTCCGTTTAAATACAGCCTGCAACCTACAGAGTGATACTGCAAAACTAAAATAGAAAGTAAGTTAAATTGAATCACATATAAGCTTTTATTTCCCAACCAACACGACACAACTAAATTCAAAAGCAAAAACTCACCTTCCCCAAATCATTTACTAAAACGATTATGCTAAAGTCGGGCTACCACTACCAGACAATCCTAAATCCAATTATTTAGTTCATTTTTATCTATAACATTTTACCTGCAGCCAAACAAACCCAATCAGCTCAATCAAAACTTCCAAAAGAACGAACCCCAGATAGCAATATCTAAAAACTATTGAAAAATTAAGCTAAACTCCCCACTTCCCTAGCAAGCCCAAACCAACACCAAAAAAACTATAATACAGGAAAAATAAAAGATATATTGAAAGAAAATGGACAAAATTAAAACTGATTTACGGGAGATTGAGCTTAGAATTCTAAGAGCAGTTAACCGGAAGCAGAGCCTTGAGAAATTAAAGCGGTAGGAAAGTGATGGAAGAAATTTCAAAGAGAAAAAGCAGACTTACGGCTTTTCTGACGAGATTAAGCGTCAAAAAATGGCCTTTTTAGCCAGCGGCTGCTCCTTCCATCAAAAGTCAGTCTGGTTTTATGGTTTTTAAGAAGTTTGACAGAGAGAACGAGAGAGTGGATGTGGGGAGCCTTGAGCGGGAGGGAAGTTCTGAATCTTCTGATACAACTAAAACGAACCCCGCGGTAAGATTTATTTATCTACACAAACTACCATCCTTTAAGCTTTTTGACTTAATGATTTTTTCTTAATTCTTAAGTTTCACACTTTCACTTTCACCTCTAAATTTTATCTCATCGGAATCTTATGACATATAAAGCTACCTTATGCCTTTTTCTTTTTCTTTTTTTAACAAAGCAATCTTATGACATGAACCTCGCTCTTCGGGCCAAATGACTCTAGTCACGTTTGTAAGGTTCATACCCCCTCCTCTAGGGCAACTGTTTAAGCCGGTCCCATGATAAAAATGTTAAAAAAAAAAAAGAAGCAATCTTATGACATATAAAGCATCCTATGATTTCTCTTTTTCTCAATACTTTATACGTTATTATGGTATACTATTTCTATTTTAGTTTAGTGGAACGCGGTTATCACCGAACTATTATTTTGTTAAAATTACTTAATTTTGTTTAGTTTATTTATTAAAAATAATTGATAAGTGATAAATAATTTATATTTATTATTTAACATATTATACTATTTCTATTCAAGTTTTGTAATACAGTTAATTAAAATTTTATTAAAATGTTAACTTTTTTATACTATTTTGGTAAAATATTAACATTAAGAAAACAAAGAAAAAATTATTAAATAAGTCTTATATAAGAAAAGTTATGAGAAACTTTTTTCTTTGAAAAAAGTATGAAAAAAAGTTTACAACTTAGGTGCATTAAAAAAAATAAAAACTAAAAATTATACTTTTATTCTTTATTTATTATAATTTTGAGACGTGTAAATACCAAATGCCCTTACAAAATCCTAAAAGGTGATGTTTCCTGGAAAAGTTTACCAGAGTCCAGACACACCCTTTGGGCCTGTTTGAGTGGCCACTTTTCCAAAAAAAGGAATCTGGGGAAGCTGCTTGAAGCAAAATAAAATAATTTTAAAAAGAAAGGAATGATTCATAGTCAAAGCTGATTAGTTGAGTAAGCCAGCTAGAAATGAAGATTAATGATTGTTAATGGAACAATTATAATCATAATGAACACTACAGGAGGTGCTCTGCTGGGGATGTTTTCCCCATTATTTGTAGAAGTTTAAAAATATTTGATAGTTGCTTGTCTCAATATTGCAATGTTGTAGCTAGTTCTATTTTCATTCACAATCGCGAGTGGGAAATTTTTTTCCACAATTTCTGGACATAAAACTCTTCGCAACTCTGCATTGAGACTCACTTCTTAAGTTTTTCCGTAAAAAATGTAATCACAATTTCTTACCAAACATAAGAAAATTAACATAC